CCGCTAGAGGATGTTTTTAGGTCGATCCAGTGGGTGCAGCGTCCGGCTGAACGGCTGCTATAAACACACTGCGGTATTATTGGAACTGTAGATCAGGTCACAAAGAACTCGAAAAAGTGAGAATTAGGTCGTAGGGAAGACGTCATCTGTTTCGAGATGGAAGACCATAGCGGTAATGGGAGCAGCAGCTGGCAACCAAGCGCTTAAACGCTGCATCTCGGTTCGAGGTATCTCAGGCTACGCAGATGGGCACAAAAATGATTCATGGCGCGATTATGCAGCTTTTTCGGCTGCAGTGTGCGCTACGGAACTATTAAAATGTCTTTCGTTCAATACCGTTAGCAAAATGGCGAGCGAGCTGACCTTAAACCATCTAAAATCTTGTCGTTACAACTGTTAGTGGCGTCGAGGCCAGAATCAATGAGTTGTTGGGGACAGTTGACGGCAAATTTAAACATCTGGAGGCCGCAAGTCATAGAATACAAAAAAGGATTGGGTTCCTCAATAACTTCGCAGACTGACAGAAGGAGTTCACTGAAAGTGAAATGAAGACTATGCGGGTCGCTTGCCAGAAGCAGCTGGATGGATCAATCCGTGGTCTGGAGAGGCAGGCCTAGCACGAAGCTGATAAAGCTACCGAAGCTGATTGCGTGACTCGGCTGGAGTGGGAAGATTTCATGAAACATATTGAAAACACGGCAGAGAAGTCAGAGAAATAGCTACTGTCCAGGAAGTGCTCGAGACCACTTCTAGCCTTGCTGGGTCTATCACCGGAGATGTAAAGGGGAAAAGAGTCAGTTTTGTCGCCAGTTACTTCGAATTTGGCCCAATATTTACAGGTCACGCTAGAAGCTCAAGAGAAATGGGTAAAAAAGCCAACGAGAGTTCCGACGCAAAGATGTTGGCCTTTTGCCCATCGCCTGTGGCAGTCGGCACTCCAAACTCGTCGCATTCAGATCCATTTTCCGCGATGTTGTCATGCAGCCCTAGATTGTCAGGGCGTAGTCGCAGTGAGAAAGTAGGCACTTTGAACCGTCTTCCGACAAGTCTGAACTCGTCGTCTCCACACGACCAGCACCTACGGCCCCTCGAACCGGATACGAGTAACCTTCCATGCATTCGCGGCCCCAGTAGACCTCACATCGATAGGGATAGAATCAGCAGATGGGCCTTCCTCGGACCATCCTAGTCTACCAGCAGACATGATGAAAGGCTCTTTACAAGAAAGAGGTTCTCGAGAGAAAGGAAAGTAACTGGGTCTAAGCTGTCTTCAACACGGTCTTTAGACTGTATAAGAGAATAGTGTTGAGCTATAAACATTCATTACATCTTGAATGATTGAGTTCTCTGCGGTAACTTAAACTCTTAAACACAAATCTCTACTGCTCCTTGAATAGAATGGTAAACCACGTTTAGAACTCTCTGACAGCGAGAATAACTACCTCTTAGTTCCAGCATTTGAGCTTCAGAACAGCCTCACGAAACAGAGAGATCAAACTCTCATGATAGCCACAGACGACAGTTTCTTGATAGGTAACAGGCTTAAGAAGTTGCCATATGTTCGTCTACTTGCGGACTTAGCCTATCAGAGCTAGTACATGACTCGTCTAACACGAATTCCAGATACACTGAGGGCAGTTGCTGTAACAATATCCACCACAACCAGCCTGTCCATTAGGACATGTGCAGCAAGTGCCACGTAGCTCAAGGCCCCTAACGATGAGTTCATCGGCCTCGGCGTTTCTCTTCTCCGACGGAACAGCCAGAGCGACTGTTGCGGACATCATAATGTAAGTGATGGCGGTGGTAAATCTCATGATGACTCCTTCGGGCTAGTAAGTGGCGGGACGTATGTAATGGCTATTAAGGTCTTACCTGGTCTATAGGCAGGGGTTGAAAAGCTTAAGAAGTGTTCGGATGGTGGAGAGATGATGTAGTTGAGGGTGAGCAATGGATATGATCAATGGGGGACAAGGCGATCTTATATCTTGACATCACGCAGTATGTATCAGCTGGACTTGCAACTACCGATTCGCTGCTTTACGATACAGTCCTATACCCATATTTCGGCCCGCGGCCGCGTCATGTTATACGAACTGGACCTCGAATGAAGTGCTTTGAACAATGAACCAAGCCCTCTTCATCCAGACTTACGTCCTGGCCTGCGAGGATCGCCGTTCCGAGTTCCGAAAGTCCTGCGATTTATATCACAGCAAAGTGGTAAGAAGGCCTGCGGCTAAGAAAGCCGGAATCTCGGTGAGCTGTTAATTGTAGACCCCAGAGGTCATAGCATTTCTCGTCATTGGATGTAATCCGAAGCCTCGTATTTCGTCTGTCTCTGCCGCTGTGGGGATCGGCTACAACGGCCCGTGCCGATTTCCGAAATCAGTACGCTTCCGAAGGAACCTGCTTGTATGATAGCATTGTCGATATTGGATAAATGCTTGCGTACGCTCCAGTAGCTTTCATGCCCAAGTTTCCGCCATAATACGGAATCTCGCTCGACTTAAGGTTCGTTGATGCACTCGTTAAGGCCCCTTAAGGACGCTGTCGCCGTCGACTTTTTAGCGGAAGCGGTTCGCAGCCATGGCGACCCTCTGTATCTTGGAATATAACATGCCATTGTCAGCCATCTTCGGCAGAATACTCGACCATATTGTGTTCTGTTGTAGGACGCTGAGTTACCTGAGTATGTCTACACTGAGAGCTTACCTGAACCGCAAGGGCGGTATGCAGTTAGCATCCCATGGATGGAGAGCTGATTGAGAACTTCTTGGCTATCGAAACCGCAATAATGGATTTGCAGCTGTGCAAGCACTCCGAGTATAGGTACTGGACTGGTTGAACATGGGATCAGGTCAAACTTCTGCTTATTATGCTTGATCAGGAAGCTTAGCTAAGACTCCAAGTTATAGTTAGGAGGTATCATCAGACACCAGGCAGACTAAATTACCTAGTTGTAAATTGTTCCAATCCAGCGATGAGACGCGTTTCGGTTAAGACTTTAAGGTGGGCGGAACTCTAGCATGACCTCAAAAGCTCTTGAGACCGCGGTGGTCATTCTGTGAAATCTTTTGAAGAATCATTTATTAAGGAGATAACTATGTATATCGATCTATTTATATTTAGTTACAATTGTTCGCCCATTTTGCGGATTCTAGTTCTTGTTGCTATAATTCGTTATATGTTGCGGATACGCTCTCCGCATCTAGCCGGTAGTTGGCACGCGTGTCTTTGAGTGTAACTGTTCTAAGCAATGAACCTAAATCCATTCAGAACCGCTCTCTGAGAATCCTTATCCAACCTGTTCACACCCTCCTCACTAGTCTCATCCACAGTTGCACTCAGTTCATCAAAGGCTTTGTTGGCCCGCTTAAGAGAATACCTCAACCCCATGATACAAGCAAACCCCAATGCTTGAAAAGCCAAGATACAGGCCCAAGATACTCGAAAGTCGGGGCCATACTGGTCAAGCCAGAAGTAGTTTGCAAAGAGTGAAGCGCTGTTTGCAAGTGTGTTCGCAATACCAATTGAGGCCGCACGCTTGACTCGTGGCTGAACGATGGTTGAAGACAGCCAAGGATATGTCGTGGAGTAAATCCCAAATGTCCCAGCGCTGACAAGAAAGGTTAACGCATAGCGGGGCCATTTTTGGTCTGTAACAGCAACGAGTGCGATGGTTGCGGCGATGGCTGTGAGGCCGGAGATAGCAGCGTGGGGAGATCGTTTTTGTCGACGATCGGCATCCCATGCGAAGCTGAGGGACCAGATGAAGGAGAAGAGGTACGGTGGTGCTGTAAGAAGAAGCACTATGGTGTTGTTTTTGAAGCCGAGTTGTTTGATCAGCGTCGGGAAGAAATGTGAGAATGAAATAGATGCAGTTGTCGACATTTGAAGACAGGCAAACAACCATACTCTGTAGTCACGAACGGCTGAGAGTATGGCTTGCTTCATGGTGATCTCCTCTTCACCGAGGATCTCCTCACTTCCAGCATCAACGGCCAATCGACCCTGCGCGACAACTCTTTCTTCCTCACTTAACCAGCCCGTAGTACCAGGGTAATCAGGAAGAAGAAAGAATGCGACGACGCCAATGACGATAGTAGCAAGACCTTCAAGGATGAAAAGCCATCGCCATGCAGCAAGGTGTCCGACGCCGGCCATGCCTGAGAGGATACCCGCTGAGATCAAACCGGCGAAGCAATTGGACAAGAGGATGCCACAGACCAACAACGCCATGCGAATACCGAGTTCCTTTTTAGTGTACCATGTGCTCAGATAGTATATAGCTCCAGGGAAGAATGGCGCTTCGACGACACCGAGGACGAAACGAACAATGAGAAGACCGGCTGGACTGGACGTTGCAGCTGTGCAGGCACTGACACAAGCCCAAAGGATGATACAGCCAGGCTATACTAGTTAGTCAGATCTCAAATGCCACAAATGAAGACATACCAAGAAGATATGAGGCTGCATCTTTGTCATAATCATCGTAGATGGAAGTTGCATCATGATGTACCCCGCAGAAAAGATAGAAATGGCCGTCTGGTACGTCGCGCCCTTGACATGAGTGTCTTCCTGGAGGCCATAGAGACGAGCTTGGGTGATGGAGTTGCGATCGAGGTAGTTGAAGAGGTAAATGGTGACGATTAGAGGAAGAAGTCGAAGATCAATCTTGCGCACGAGTTGAGCTTCTGTTTCTTTGGAGAATTCGGGGGCGTAGGAGCGGTAGGTGTCCAGGAGGGTGAGTTGTTTGGTAGGGACATTTTCGACTTCTTCACCTGTGGATTTGAGGACGGTGACGTCGTCTACTTGGGACTTAGAACTATCCATGGTGCAAATGGCCCAGTGGTTTAAAGAAGATTGTTTAATTGTGATGATTCTGTTCATGATGTTTATGAGGATGTCACTCTTTATACGCCAGAACTCCCCAACTTCTTCCCCGACTCAAAGACCATCGGCCCCATCCCGACCCCAGATTCTCCCCGCGCTCACTAGGCTCATCCCCGCGTGCCGAGTACCCGTTCGGGGTTCAGAACAAGCATACGCTCCCACTGCTCATCCATAAGCCAATCCCTCAAAAGTCCAAGCTCCAGGTCCGTGTCAACTTCAAGCGGCGGCGTCGGGGTAAGTCCTCGGATCGCTGCGTTGCAGTGCGGCCAGTCGCTTCCCCAAAGGATCGAGTCAGGCGCAGTGTTTGCGATGGTTTTTACTATGTGCTCCATTTGGGAGATTTGCTTGCTTCTTCGGTGGAGGGCGCCGAGTTTGATGTACATATTTGGTGAGGAGAGGAGGTTCAGAAGGGATGTGAATTCGGGGGTGTTGATGGAGGATGGTGTTGTGGAGGCGTTATGGTCGATGATGATGGGGATGTCTTTGAGGTTTGGATGGGAAGACAGGGTTTCTGCAATTAAAGACCATGTCGCGAGGGGTAATTGGGCAGAGATACTCCAGTTGTATCTACGTAGAGGGCAATGAGAAGCAACCTCCAGAAATTGCTGAATCACCCAAGACACGTCGTCCCCAGAACCGCCATAAGATCCATGAATCCTCACAGATCGAACCCCTGCGTTATGCAGCTTCTCAAACTCAAATTCCGTGAGGCTCTTCAATCCTAAATCTCCAGGATCCCAAAAGATAGTCCCGCGGACATGCTTAGCAGGATGCTGGTCCCGGCATTGCTGCAGATGTTCAAGCAAGCCTGTATACCCATCTTCAATGGTCGCCTGTACAAGCATCACATTATCAGCCTTGGAGTTCTGGATCAGGTCCTTCAGTACTGCTGGCTGCGGGGTATACGCGCGCGTTGTTTTGAAAGGGTAGCGCTCCGGGTCGAAGCAGTGCATATGGGAATTCCATGCACCGGGTGGTAAGATAGGTACATCCATTGTGGTTGCGTGCGTAGTCGATAATCGCATGTCTATCAGCTTTTACAGGAATTAGCATGTTTTTGAGCTGTAGTGTAAATTCGGAGGGTCTCCGAAGGAATCGGTTTGAATCCGGCGCTACGTGAGAGCTATCGGACAGCAATTACCGATAAGCTTACTGGAATGGAGTCTCATTAAATGCCTGAACTAATCAGGGTATCCGCCTTGCATAATTTCGCCTTGCATAATTTGAAGATGAGTGTATAAATGCTGGGATACGCAATTCAATGGCACTTACTCCGCTAGAATGAATAACGCTTTGCTTAATTCAGTCGCTCGTGACTAGCTACTGCTTCTTGACTTCAGAGAGCGTATGAGTCCATCTTACTGAGGTACTGTGATGAGATAGGTTGTACGAACTCTTACATACCCTGTAACTAGAGATGGACTAAGATAATAAAAATACCTTGCAAAAGCTCGTTTAATCCGAGGGGAAAAAGATGGATTGCTAACAATTCTAAACATTTCTAAGAGACTGTGTTTGCCTATAAGTAAATAACTTGTGACCCCCTCCTCAAGTCATGTCGATCATAACAGTTTTGGGCTCTATACAGGAACTCAACCCCATGAGACTACACACTCTCTCCAGCTTAGACTCCTTGTATCTACCACAAGGTGTCTTGAGAAATATGCGATTAATAAAGTTGCTTCTAACTATCCTAACCTTAAAATCACCCACAGCACACAGGGCTCGGTTGATAACGCGCGTGAAAACACTAGCAGCTAATCAATGCTCACTATTATTCGCTCGAGCAATGACTTCGGCCTTGTCCTTGAACTTCTCGATAACAGACACCGGGCCAAAGATCTCTTTGTTTGTGCTCTTGGATTCTTTGGCGACTTCGATGAAAGCGGGGGGGAACCAGAAGCCCTTAGTGTTGTTAGCATTGGTTATAAGCATTGGTTACTCAGTTGACATACCTTGTCGCCTACGGGGTTTCCGCTCGTCAAAAGCTTTCCATCTCCTTGCTCCAAAGCTCGATCGACCATTCCCTTCTCATGATTATACTGCAAGCTATCCACAAGCGGACCAAACCTCGTCTTCTAGTCATTCACATCTCCAAGCTCCTTGGCCCTCGCCTCCATCGCATCCCGATACGCGACAACAAACCTCTCATTAACCCCCTCCTGAACTTAGACCCAACTCAAAACCATAAACCGCTGCCCTGTATTCTGGAGAATGCTCTCCACCGCCTCAACAACAGCCTTCTTCAAATTGGCATCATGAAAAATAACAGCGGGATACTCACCAGCCAGCTCTAAACTAACCCGCTTGAGGTTGCTAGCTGCAGCCGCCGCGAGAGCCTTCTTCTGGATGGGTACAGAGCCTGTGAAGGAAATTTCTTGACGCGCATGTGGTGCGAAAGCATCTTAAGAACCTGTTGAGCCGTCCCCGGTGAGGATTTGGAAAACGCCGGGAGGGAAACCATCTGCTTTCATAAGGGTACCAAGGGTAAGGGTGGCGAATGGTGTTTTTTTTTGGAGGGGTTGCAGATGTAGCAGTTTCCTGCTGAGAGAGAGGCAGAGGTTCTGTAGATTGCCATTGGGAATAGGGCGTTCCATGAGATGATTCCGACGGTAACACCTAATGGTTCATGTCATACAATCTTCATCTGTAAACCTTATCAGTATTTTTACTTGGAGCTATGAGTGACAGACTCTCATGAACATCATCAGCTGTCCAAGATTCCCCAAGGGCTTCATCAAGATATGCAGCGACATAGGGCAAGAGCGCCGAGCACATCTGTCTAGTCCAGGTAATCGGCTTGGGCGCTCCAAGGGCCAAAGCCGCGAGAGCCAAGATAGCTTCAGCGTTCTCGTCGATCAGGTCCGCGAGTTTTAGCATCAAAGACTTTTCAACCTCTTGCAGAGTCTTCTTCTAGGCGGTGAAAGCCCTTTCGGCGGCGTCGACTGCGGCGTCAGCGTCTTCGGGGCCGGCGATCTGGATGTCGTCTGCGACGAGGGAGCGGTCGGCTGAATTGTAGACAGAGCATCTATAAATTTGGTCAGACATCGAGTTTGTGATAGAAGAGAGATTGAAGGAACGTTGTTTACGTTCTGTTGGACTTGGAGTCGACGTATGCGTTGTTGATGAAGAGCTACTTGGGCAACTCGGTAGCTGAGATTGCGGCCATTTTTATGTTGATGATTGCTGAAGTTAATTGATTTCGATGTTTTTATTCGATTAAATATTAAGATAATACGATCAGCTACACTTATATACCTCACGCAAAGTCCCTACTGTCATTTCATCTACACGATCTCATCACCTACATCGAATGTCGCTCGCATCTCGAACCACTAATGCGGGCCCCGCATGCGAATATTACCAGGACTCATGCATGATCTAGAACTAATGTCTGATTCCTTTAAACCCCTAGCGGGCTTGACATTAGTTCATGTCAGTCCAGTCTTGCCCATCGTACTTACGATCAGAGTTAACCAATCATCGTGACTGATGCAGTAGCTCAACGTATAAGTTGTCCTTCAACACCACCATTTTATCGAGCATGGATCACAGATTACGGACTTTTCTGGATACGAGGCTAATATGTCGAATTCGCGTTGCCCGATGGACATTATCGCTTTCAATCATCCTCAACGATGAGTCAAAAGTGCATTCACCCAAAATGACACTCGAAATTAAACAATCTTCAATCATGCAAGTCATTCAATTCAAACGCAATTAATTCCATAACTTTTCCCTACACCTAAAATGCTCATCCCTCACTCCTCCCCCCTTTGCTACTGTTCAAATTCTCATCACTAACCCCCTCCTCCGTATACCACGTACTCGGCTGTTTCTTCGTCGTCTGCACCAACGAGATCTCACTATCCTGATCCCTCGACTGAATTCGACTCTGCCCCGACCGAAAGCCGCTCGAGCTTGGTACTCTAAGATTTCTTGACGCTGATGTTGATCGCGCCATGCCCCCATACGAAGACCCCTTTGTCGTTCCGCCCTCGCGGAAGAAGTATGCGAAAATCGAGCGGCTGAGGGCGAGGTTGGCGCCGACGATGCCAAGGTAGAGTTCGAGGTTCGACCAGATTGCTGTTATGGCGTAGACCCCTAGAATTGTTAGTGGGTACAACGTGGAGGGTTGGAAGTGACTTGCAGCTTAGGTCTGATGTTACGACGCCGAGGGAAGTGGCACGAGCGATGCCGAAACCAGTAGCTCTGCTGAGTGTCAGTGATTGAATCGTAATAGGTAAGAGGATGAATGGGCAAACGTACACTAGCCCTAAGCTCATCAAAGCCCAAACGGAGATCTTTGTCTTCAATGGAAGGCTGGTGTTCCATATCACAAAGACTGGCAGTAGTGAACATATCAAATCTGTAAGAATAGAAAATGCTGCCCGGTTCCGTTAGCCAACCTCGACCTGTATCACTCACACTCGAAATACATACCGATCGTAGCGTAAATGTAATAGATTCGAATCCTCGGATTCCAACACTCCCCAACGCCAGTCCAATACGCACTGACAGGTCTGCACTCCGAAAGCAAAATGATAATGCATCCGAAATTCGTAATAACCAACCCCGCCATGATCCCCCACGCCGCGTACCTAACCCTCCTCGAGTCCTTAATCCTCAACAACAGCAACAATATCGAAATCTTGAGCAGACAAATACTCGCAAACAGCAAAATCTGCGCTACCCATCCCAACTTATTATTCTGCACATAATCCTCCGGCTCAATGTACCATCGGTGTCGTCCGTTCCCAATACTGACCTGTCCAACCTGCACGCCGTACCGCGCGATGCCGAGGAGCGTCACGATGACGATGGTGTAGTCGTCCCAGCCCGACGATCGTAGGGCTGTGCGGACCCAGATCCGGACGCTAGTGGTGATGATCACCAGGGCGAGACATGTTCCTGATATTCCGAGGAGGATTGGACCGACGTTTTGATCAGGCGGTAATGGGTTTGGTGGTTGCACGGATGCCATGATCAGCGTATATGACGAAAGGATCAGAGTGCAAAAAAAGAGGGGGAAAGGGAAGGGGGGAGTGAATGAAGTTGCGTAGTAATTGGTAGCGTGAGTTTTTGTTTATGTACAGCATGGTCTGCGCGGCATTTGTTGACGGGACAGGGGATGTTGTCAGATCTGGAGTCTCACACGGCGCAGTCGCTGCCGAAACTTTAATTCTATTAGAGGTAGCATCAGGTTCTGCCACCTACTGCATTCATCACGAACTTTCCACTGCTTGAGTCAGTGGCTTTGACTGTTTGGGTTTGTACGCGGTTCTCGCATCAGACCATGGCATTATTCAGGTCTGTATAATCACTCTCCGCAGCACTATCCCCCATCCCATTCGTCGTTCTAAGCGAAGGACCCTTGGTCCCTGGTCTAAGCAAAACCTTATACTGCATTGGCGGGGTTTCATCGCCCGCCAAGGACGTATTGGTCGCCCTAAAGAGGCCTCGCTCCGCTCCCTGTCATGGATGAGTCTTGCGCTTGTCAATTAACTTTACAGTTAAATACTACCTAAATCTGCAGGGGCGAGATGCAGGAGCGGGCGACGCAATAAAGGGTTTTTCTCTGCTCCCGGGCGCATGTTCCTCACTTTCTTCTTTTGTCTGTGTTCTGCAGCTTTGTGGCGATAACCGTGCATTGCAATATCGTCATCTGTCACCATGTTTGTCAAGTTGCATTTGTGGTTTAGCCTTGCTGCAGCTGCAGTAGCGGCTCCGTCAAAGGACACCTACGATTATGTGAGTTTCATCGGCTGGAGTCAATTTCTGTCGCCAATCCAACACGGCATTTGTCTCATGCTACATCGACACGTTTTGACTCTAATGACATGTCGCATTCCTCATCTTACATCGACCAATTCCTCGGATCTCTCGGCTAATCTTGAACTCTCTTTTAGATCGTCGTCGGAGGTGGCACAGCTGGTGTCGCAGTCGCTGCTCGTCTCAGCGAAGGCCTCCCATACGCCGACATTCTCCTCATCGAAGCCGGCCCCGCTGTCGACAATGAACCCAAGATCAACATCCCCGGTATGAAGGGTTCGACCCTCGGTACCAAGTACGATTGGAACTTTACGACTGTTCCTCAGGCGGGCGCGAATAATAGAGTTTGGCCGATCAATCGCGGTAAAGTCTTGGGAGGGAGCTCGGCTCTTAATCTCATGACCTACGATCGTGCTGCGGTCGCTGAATACGATGCCTGGGAAGCGCTTGGTAACCCTGGGTGGAACTGGAAGACGATGATCAAGGCGATGATGAAGTCTGAGACATTTACTGGCAAGAACACTGCGACATACGGTTCAAAGGGCGTTGGCGACAGCGGTCCCATCAAGGCTGTCGTCAATCGCATCATCCCCAAACATCAAGAGTCTTGGATCCCAACTCTCAACAAGCTTGGAGTTCGCAAGAATCTCGAGTCGCTTGGTGGCAACCCTCTTGGTGTCATGTACCAGCCCAGCAGCATTGATCCCTCCAACTACAACCGCTCTTACAGCGCCAACGCCTACACGGAGATCTCGGGTTCCAACCTTGAGATTCTCGCCGAC